GTTTTTCGGTTAGAGCTATTTCGTCGAACATTAAAATACAATTCCTATCAATTTCTGGCATTTTTCTAACAATTTCTTTAAATCTGGAAAACACTGAATCATTTATCCCCGTTTCAAAATGTAAATCACTTAAAATTTGTTGGATAGTAGATTTACTAGGCAACGAAATGCATTTTCTTAAAAAATTATATGCTCTTGGACCATTTTTATATAATGCTAAAGAAAAAATTTTATTCTGAGTGGTCCAAGAGGGTTTCTTTCTCTTACAATTTTCTAAACTACTTTTAAAGAATTTAATTCCAATCGGATCTAATTTATTATTAAAATCTGAAAATAACTGAGTTTTGGATAATTCAAAGACTTTCTTGATTTTATTTTTGGAAACACGTAGAGCTTTCTTTAGCTTACAAATTCTAACGTTTTGTTCTCTATTAATAAAATACAGCTTTTTCTCTTTGGGACTTAAATTTTTGACTTTACTTTCATTTATTTGTTGCAAAACAGTTTTTCTCCGTTTGGAGGGTTGTTCAAATTGTACATCACTAATATTTAGTTTACGTTTGCAACTAATTTCTTGATTTTCGTTGCTGATTAGCAAATCTATCTTATGCTGCTGTGTTTGTGCTTCAGCCTCAATATATTCTGAAATCTGGCTCTCGGGTTGTATATTTGAACTGGATGGATAATTATCTAAAGAAATTGGTACAGAATGTACAACTAGTCGTTTACGTTTTGAGGAAACCTTACTAAAAGACTGGCAAAAAATGATCTTCACAAAGATAGCGAGTATTATATTATCATCTAAAGTTAAATTCTTAAACCAGTTCTGGCGAACTTTAACATCAGAAGGAAAATGAAAAAATGCTTTATTTGAATAACCAACTTGCTGAATATTAGAATAATACTTATTTAAACAATTAGGAGCTGAACAAGAATACTTAACTATACCCGGGCCAGACATTTTTGTTTCAAATATTAGAAAAGGAATTGTTGAAATATGAAATTAGATACCTATATATCGTTAAGGCTAAGAAAACAATGATAAACAAAGTCCTTAAATACTTAATATTAAATTAAAGTTAATACTTACTAATTACATCAAATCAGCACCGTTTGTTTCTTAACCTAAAAATAACTTACCTACCCATGTAACTTACATCATAAAATTAAAAAAAAGTTTTATTTTATCATCATATCCCGCCTTCCGCCATCACGTTTTTCATTTTTTACAAGGTTGTCAATCCCGTCTTTTAAAAATCTCAGCAATAGTATGGACATTGTATGGATGGTATGGTGCGCATGTAGATTGATAAAAAATTAAAATAAAATGAATTTGAAATAACTATCATCTCATGAAAGTTTACGGAAACCGGCAACATCGCTTTCATACTATTGCGATGGTGGCGCTAACTAATAGTATGCTGGGAACTATGCCGTGTTGACAGTGGCGGGCAGTTAATAAATTCATCTTGTTTTATATTAATTTATCTATGTCCCTTAGACTAGGAAATAAAGAGGGGACTCATAACGTCGCTGAAAATCTTGTTCTATTCTGACACCAACAATATTCGACCAAAGGCCTAACATGTTGGAAATAAAAAACGAATTTGTATTTATGTTATTAGTACTGCATTGATCTTTTTAAGTATAAGGCAAGTTCAAAGCGTAAGATTTAAAATAAATAAGACACAAGAAAAAATAAACTGAATGAAATCGTTTACATAATAAAATGAGTGTTTTTTTAAATTCCGCAAAATAAAACATTATTTACATGTATTACAAAAAGATTTATTTTAGGTAATAAAGAATGACACTATCCACGTTTTAAAGACATTTTAAATACGTTTGTTCACGACATTCGTGACATTTTGAAGATCTACGCTAAATATCCAAAAGATGTTTTAAAGGCGTCCATAGGACGTACTTTGTTACAAAACAAGGCGTCTTTAGGGCAGTCAAATTTTGTACGTCTTTAAGACATCCAGTTTTGTACATCTTGAAGACAAACCGTATTGGACGTGTTTAAGTCGTCTATTTACTTGATGGAAATTCGTTTAAAAAAAATAAATGAATACTTGTCTACTATATTTAATACTGTTTTGTTATACATTATTAAACTATTAAAACTGACACAGAGTAAATATTATTTTACAGTGTTGAATAAAATAATTAAAGTACTTGTTGTTATAAGAAACTATTCCCGGAAATCCTACTTTTTCCTACGAAAAAGTAATGAAAATATCCACAGACTGACGCTAAAAAAATTATACAATGGCTGTCCCTAGAATAAGACAGTTAGAGGAAGAACACGACTCGATACGCGCGCGCAAGACTATACAACCGGCCAATGGCAATAACGGATGACGATCATACATGCGCTGCAGCAGCACCAAGAATGGTGTCGTGGCGCCATATTCAAATATAGTGAAAAGAGTTGAATATCTACATTACCGACATATTTAAAACGTCCTAAAAAACATCCCAAAGACATTTTAAACCGTCCGTTTTACGTACCAGGACGTTTGGACGAAAGTAAGACATGAACTAGACGTCTTTAAGATGTAGTGTGTTATCTGAATATTATTAAATTGAGCTAGTAAGAAAAATTATACATGAATGAAGATAAATTTATTACTGACCCTTAAATAATGCTAATTTGGTATAATAACAAGAAGTTTTAGCGAACAACTCTTTTTTAATATCTTTTAAGTTTCTGTTTAAGAACTTTGATTTGTCTTATTTTTTCTTTATTCTTTTCTACCTGTTGTAAAAGTTATCTTCCAAGCCGTTTTATGCTAGGGCTTTCTAGGATAGATTCCTTATTTGAAGTTCTATTTGAAGGGCCTGGCTCAGCTTCCAAATACAATGCTCTTCTTTTAAAGTCCTACAAACAATCAATTATTACGGTAATGTTTTGAATTATACACAAAAGGGTTGCTAAATTCTTAAAAGTTCATAACATAATGAAAAGTAATTAAAAAAAGTATATGTTTAATTATGTTTATTAGTATACGCACCTTCTTTGTCTGCATGTATTTAGAGAATTCAGGAAATATAGTGGAAACTGCTTCATTTAGTAAACGTCTTTTACATTCCGTCCCATAAAAAAATATCTTTCAAAATATTTTGAACACAATCTATCATTTGGCGTAGGCATCCAATTTGCAATTTTCGTTATCTGAATCCAAAGATTTTTTTGCTTGATCCACAGGAAATCTAAAATAAAACAACAAATAAACATTGCTGCAATTAAATAAACAGCAAAAGTAAATTAGAATTTAATAAAAGTTCATATTTATAATTGTACGATACGCCATTGGAAAAAATTACATGTTTGGCCATTTTAATATCATTAATTGCCTAAATATCAATGAAAAGCATAAAATAAACAAACTTGGTGGGTAAAATTTATTACTCTGGAGTGAAACATGTACAATATGTAAATACCAAGTTGTATAACACCAAATAAAATGAAAAATATAAGAAAATATATAAAGTGAAAACGATTGATGTTTATCATTTACCTGTAAAACGTAATATCTGCTTCTTTCTTGCCGCTATAACTTTTACACTGATATGCCACACAATAAACCATTGTAATAAACCAACTATTTAATGTCATTTAATTCAAAATCACAAATAAACACGAACAAAAACTTTGGCGTCACCGAAATGCTTAGTACCAAAATAATGGCGGCCAATAGATAATCGGCAAAGAATAATACGTGTGCTCGATATACTTGTTACGCGTTCTCTCTTTATTACCTAGGCTAAGGTGTACCCCCCACCAGTGCTGCCCCTAGCGGATTAGCGGGTCTTTTTTAAATCTTCCCAGGAAAAAGGCTAATTGGAAGAGTTGATAATTTTATAGACATTAACATTTTTTTTTCTTATCGTGTCCCGCTCAGGTCTAAAACGATTTTATATATTTTTTTACAATTATAATTTAAATATATTTGTAAACAAGAGCTAGTGCTATGAAAATTAAACGCTTAACATGTTGTTAACAAAAATTGTCTTTGGGTGACCAGGTCGTCGCAGGCTTTGTTACTTTTGCCCGTCGCCACTTTAGAAACACCACTGTTAATCAAAACCCAACAGTGGATCGTTCAGTGGAGAATCCTACCTATGCTTCAGAATTAATTTGTAAATAATCAAATTAATCAGAAAAGTATAATACCAACCCGAGACCCTTGGATCCGTAAGTCCAGACTCTATCCTCTGAACCACCCATCCCCTTTTCCGCGCTAATATTCCATTAATTTGACTGAACTCTCAACACTTTTGGCAGAAATTCTTTTATATAGAGCACCCTTTATAGTGTCGATAATTCTAAAAAATATTCAGAAAACTCAACAACCACTCGGTGCTACAATAAATTTAAATATGGCTTATCGTTTATCTCTAATATACATGGTGAGATCACCTACGATTATCGTATGTACTGATATGCAAATCTTAATGTAAGTTTATCAAATTTCCAATAAATTACACAAAAATCTATCTATCGGGTGGTTCGGTTTCTACAAAAATTACAATAATATTAATTACAAAATAAAGTTCATTTTTTTTTCTATCTGCCTCTTCTACCTCTCTGCGTTTGCTATGTCGTATGGTATACTTATGTTCACTCTAATTATTTTTTTTTAGTATCACTTTGTTCTATTCCTCGACTCCTACTATTTTGCTGACAATCTAGCTTCTTTTTAATATGTCTCTTTTTTTTTATTAAATTCTATTTACCTTCTTTATATTTTATTTCAATTCCAATACAATTCTAATTTTAATATTTTTCTCGAATTTTCTAGACACGCACCTCTCTAGAACTGAAAATCTCAAAACTCCCATATCATTAAAAATTTTCCCGATATGACTTCACTTTAAATGTAGGTTTCCAGAAACTTCACCTCCCTATCATAATACAATTTTGAATAACACCGTCATTTCATTTTCCATATTCGTATATTTCACTCTGAATAACCCTCTGTATTTCTTTTTAGGTACCCAGAAGTTTACATTACCGACTTCCAAGGCGACATTTCCTTTTTCGCTCCAGCAAAATACAATACAGGTTTAGATCCACCAATAGCGCTAGGCGATGTACGACAGCTACTCATGGAATACTGCGTCGTTCCTATGCTCACTCCAAATCTTCACCAAACGACCCCTCACATAAAATCTCTTCTTTTAGCCGGAAGTAAAGGTAGCGGCAAACACCATTTGGTCCACGCAATTTGCACCGAGACGGGCTCCGTATTGTTCGATCTGACACCTGCGAATATCGTAGGTAAATATCCTGGAAAATCTGGGCTCATTATGTTGATCCATTTGGTGTTGAAGGTTTCCAGATTGTTACAACCGTCTGTCATTTTTATGGATTGCGCTGAAAGACCATTTGTTAAGAAAATACCAAAAACGGATAAGAGTGATCCGAAGAGGTTGAAGAAGGATTTGCCAAAGATTATAAAAAGTAAATTAATTTTTATTTAATACCATAAATATTAAACGATCTCTTCTTTTGAAGAATAATTATTAGTGATTCTCTTGGTAAATGTTGATTGGTCGTAACCATTAAATGATATTGTGATATGCAGACTCTATTTACGTGATCCTACAAAACATTCAACTTGTTCCAACGAAGGATTTTAAACCGTCTTAGAAAGCATAACTTCAGAATGGATAGTTCCATTTATCATACATTTAAAAGACAAAAGACTCTGGATACAGCAAGTGCGTATGCGTATCAAGTCATTCGTCGAAAATTAGTTTCTAAAATTAGCGAACATTACCAACCAACTAACTGTTCTGTCTCTTCATCATTTGTAAAATTGTATATTTATTTTAAGATTTTAGTCCAGAAGACAGAGTTATGCTGGTAGGTGTAACAAGCTGTCCTTGGGAGAGTGACCAAAAACTTCTTCAGCAAGTGTACCAAAAATTTGTAATGATCCCTCCACCTAATTATAGTTCAAGGTATACTGCTTGGAATAAACTTCTTGGAGAATATATGCCGAATAACTGGCAGTTTGATATGGGATTGGTGACAAGAATATCAGATGCTTATACCATAGGTATGAAGAATATGTATTTACAATGTTATTCTAGGTTCAACCTTTCATCTTCCAATATAACTAATTGCCAATAGTTTTTATTAGTGTCCAAACCTTTGATCTATGGGTAGTATTGCATTCCTAGAATCAGATTATAATAAGAACAACACCGCCACGTCATAACCATTACTTCGAATTTCGAATACATATTATCTATAACTATCAATAAATAAAAAATAAGTGAGTTGTTAGGTATAAAACAATATTTCCTATATTCCTATAATATTAACACTCCACTAAACCCCCAGTAGGCGGCGATAACCAATTAATTACTTTGCGAAATGATGACGTAGCTGTGTTCTTCTAATTGTAATGGAACCCTACACACGAAAAATTTTCGTACAATCGTTTTAAACACTTTTCTCTACGTTTCCGATCATTCTAAATTCAAAAACGCAAAACATGTGTGTCGTATGTGCGTACACCGAGATAAATTTCAATTAGCCCTTAACCAAGGGCGGATTAACGGGGAAGGGGGCTGAGGGTAATTACCCTCATGATTATAGTTTATAAAAAACCTATAAAACATAATACTCACAAACAAAGTATTGCTTCTTATAATGCAATAAAGAAATCGTCAAAATCTTGATTATTGAAACTTTAAAAATTCATATCTTCTAAAATATTAACTTTATCAAAAACAATTCATATTTATTTATATCAAAGTACATAATAAGAAAAATATATCAGTTTAAATATAATATTTTTCAGGAATTGTATAAACAATTTCAGAAATTTGACAACGTGGTAAAGAATTATCGCTAAAAATACTTAAAAAATTAAGAGTTTGATGATTTTCTTATGGACCCCATTATTAGATATTGACCAAATTTATAGAAATTGGATAGGGTAGTAAAGAATTATCGCTGAACATACATAAAAAATCCGATGAATTGAGAACATCCTCCTTTGAAGTCGGTTAAAAAATATAAAACAGAAAAAAGTCAACATTCTAATACAATTAAAACAAACTATTTTGTACCATGACTGTAATAAATTCATTATAAACGTGTTTTTCTACGCCTATGTCAGTAAACGTTAAAAATCGCACTGTCCACATTCCTTGTAAATGACATGCACGTAATGAGATCTCATAACATACACGTGCGTTTTGATAAGAAAACTTAAATTTCTTAGTTTATTATCTAGGTTAGACTTTATTTGGTCTATTTACATAAATTTAGTCAATTGATAAACATAAAAACTTTTAGAATTAGAGAGCTACAGTTTGGATTAAAAAAGTGATGCTCCTAAATGTAGGCAACACATTATAATATTTAAAAAAATAAGTCTCGTTTTCTTAGCATGCTATGGAAATAAACGTCTTATCATTTATATTGTCAATTTTGGTAACAAAATATTATTGTATTCGAACATTTTCTCAACTTTACCTACGAATATATCTGTTAGTAGTGAAAGTGATGAAATTATGAGCACTCCGCCAGAGATTTTAGAAAAAGCTCAAGCTGCCACACATAATTTGTAACCGCTAAAATCTAAAAAAAGGTACGAAATTACCTATCTAAAATTTATAGATTGGTGACACAAGCATATGTCCTTTATTTAATAGAAGGAAATAAGTGAACGTAGAAAAAGTATTCTATTTTTAAAACAATGCAAAAAACACATATCTCAATGAAGGACAAAAAATATCATGAATAAGTACCTAAATGTTTTTTGAAATCACTTTTCGCAATGCAGTGAATTGAATGTTTTATCTTTCTCAGTTATTGTTAAGTATATTGTTATTGACAGTGGCGGCTTGTTTTAATTTAAAATGGGTGTTTACTTTTTCCAATAATTTGTAAGTTCGGTTCAAAACTTTGTAGAAGTATAGTTATTATTATCAATATTATACTGTTTTCAAGCACTATACAACTATTAATTAATGAATAAATGAATATTGTGGTTATTTCAAGTATTTGTTTTTTTTTTAATACGTTGAAACCCACCTATAAACATTATTAGTTGGTCAACCGACTGTTCTTCATGTTTTGAGATTATTTTTAAATATATACCAGGTTATGCAGAAAACTTGACATTGATTTTTGTGTAAAAAATATTATTATATAAAACTTTACCTACCATTTTTCAGTTTTTATTGTAAATTTAATCATTTTCACAATTTGTTACACATATCAAATAAAATAATATATTTTTTAAATACTTTTTATTGGCAAAACAACAAGTGTGTATTTTTTTTCAAAATCCAAGGGCTTCTTTTCCTTATAGAGCTTGATGTTTGCTAAAAATTTCAAGTTTTCGTTTTTGAGTTAAGATTATTTTTAATATTTTAACCCCCTTAACTCCCCAACCTATTGATTCTGATAAAAATCTATCAGAATGAATAGGTTTTATCTCTTCTTATAGAGCTTCATTTTTACTAAACATTTTATGTTGATATCGCTTTCGTTTTTAATTTAGCATTTTTTTTTTAATTTAAACCCATCTTAACCCCCTATTTTTAATCATATTTCAAAATAAAGCTTGTTTTTTTGCTTAAAATATTTAAGTTGATATCCTTTTTTGTGTTTGACTTATCGTGCAGACAAAGTAAACCTATAATACTCTTCAAAGACTACTGAGTGAGGAGTATAATAATATTATAATCAAGGCTAAAACATAATAGCCTAAAAAATAGGTACAATAAAAGAATGATAAAGTCCAAAGATTTGAAAATTATGTAATAGGTATATCAGTACCTCGGAGATAAACTGCGCTGTCATTCTAGTCAACTTTTTAATAGAGCAGACTGAATGTTAGTTGGACACTTTTCGTGTTCAATATTTACATATACAATTATTGTCACAATATATATTGTTTACTAATAAGCTAACTATTAAAACTTTTTTTTAATATGCATGAATTGTTGGTTTTGTAACATATTTCTATGTTCTGATAACAAGTTTTCTATGACAGTATCATATACCTCCAAAATGCCTCTATAAATAGTACGACTAACGTGAGAGGTAAAAACTGTTGTTTAACATTTAACTTGTAAGTTTATTGAACATTGAACATAGGGTTATCTCTTTTTAAGTCAACTTTTATTGTGACATCACTATACATGGCATAGAATACCCCTGAAAAGGTCTCGATGAGCCGATTTAAAAATTTGACCTTTATAAAACTGCACAATGCTGACATAGTTCAGTTTAGCTTTCAGATAGATATCGGTAAATATTTAATTTAGTCTTCATGATATATGTACATACCTAACATAGACCCAACTATTAAGTTTCTTGAATTAATTTAGGCCAGTGCAATATTTATATTTTATATTGTTTTAAAAAATATATGTAATGTAAGTTTATAAAATCCTTAGCGCTCCATCAGTCTGACACTGTATATGAGTACCTCTAGTATTTGTAGATAGGGTATTTTTCTATAACTTTAAATTCATTAGGGACAACCTACAAAATAAACAATTATTCATATAAAATTGTACTACGGCCAAGAAATTATCCTTGTTTAAGGGTCGATCTTTTCACCACTGAGTAAAGTTACATGTAGGTTTATTACAGATTAACAAACAATAGCCCTATTCGCTCCGTGCGAAGTCATGGAAAGGGAAGCAAAAGCGATACTAGCGCTAGCTGCGGATAATTCGTGCATTTTAGGGCGATACCAAAACGAATTGGCGCTGCTGTCGCGCACGGAGCGAATAGTTTAATCAGCAAGTAGTTACTTTCAACTTTACTCAGAGGTGAAAAGACTGGCCCTTAATAAAATATATAATAAAATTGTTATACTTTTTTGAAACTTCGTTTGTCTTTTGTTGGAAACAAAAAAATTTGCTCAATGCATAGTTGGGTACAAAACACATGACTATTCTGTAGACCCTGGAGCAAAAAACAAAATATAAGTTACAACCGTAATTTGGAAATAAACAAACATAACCTCAAAAATAATAGTAATTTTTGCCTGCAACGTTTTTCGGTAACAGTGACACATATACTTCCAATTGATTTTTATTTATTTTCTTTTCGCAACTGGTGACAATGATTTTTTTGGTAACCAGTTTCATAATGTTCAACTTTATGCAACTGGTTTAACACTTGTTGCGATTATAAAAAAAACTATTATTTCTACACCCACATGGATATTAGCTTATTTACGCACACACTACAAAACTAAAAAGTATGCTATTGCGTTCAACTGAACGAATATATTCCATATCCATTCTGGGTAGTGAGAACACTGCACAAAAATGAAATCCACTCATTACAGTTCACATTTTAGTCATCCAACTACTATTATTTTCAAAATTTTAAATAAGTTACAATTCTGTCAAACGAATTGTCAGTATAGTTTTTAGTTTAGCATTTCTGTTTTTATTTCGCCTATAATTTTAAATAATTCGTTAATTTTGGTAAAATACATGAGGTCAAACATTTTAAGCGCCTCAGTGGTAGTAAGGTCAGAACACTTGCCTTTCATGCGAAAATCTCGGGTTCAAATCTAGACTGGGGATAAATTGAATTAAATCTTTTTTTTTTCTTGATTATTTTATTTAATAAAACTAATAAATTATTTTTAAATTAGTTATTTTATCTTAATAACCAAAAATAATTTTTAATATTTGTAGATTTTAGTTAGTGGGTCGTAAAAAAATATACTGTACAACTCGAGTGGATTGTTTTTCTAAATAAACTTTTTAGTTTCTATTGCATTCTTTTTCATTATAAATATTTTCTTTGCTACCACAAAAATAATACTTTAGAAAATTTTAGCCTTTACCTTTATTAAAGAAAAAGTGTTTTTTTATCTCTCTCGGCCCGATAAATCTAGAACGAATGCTCCAATCGACTTGCAGATTTGATTTTCTTTGATAATTTCTTCTAATTGAGAACTAAGTATATTGATTTTTAGAATTTTCACTTTAGTGATTTAAATATCAATGTTTTTAAAATACAACGCATTTTTTATGAAGCTTATTTTATGCAATGGTAGAATGTCAC